ACACTGACTAACCAAGCCACACTTGCTTCTTAAAACAAGTGTGTGAGGCAAGTGTGAGGTCACTGAGGATCAAACTATGGACCTCTTGCTTAGCAAGCAGCACACTAACCAACCAAGCCACACTTGCTCCTTAAAACAGGTGTGTGAGGCAAGTGTGAGGTCACTGAGGATCAAACCATGGACCTCTTGTTAAGCAGGCAGCACACTAACTAACCAACCAAGCCACAAATTTAAAAAATAAGGCATTTGAATTACAAAACACTCTTCTAGTACTATCAAGCCACTCTTCAAAAACTCAAATCCTACGATAATCTATGGGGATTTATTTGTTTATTTTTAAGTCACTGATTTTGTATTTTCTGTACTCTTTCCATAGCGACTTGATTCCTTGATCAACACAATATTTCATGATGTGCAAGTCTCTAACAGATATCAGAACTCATACTCGTGCTTTGTGAATGACTACAACAAATGCCAAAACCTGTTAAACTGGATTGACCAGGTTCTAACCAACACAATCAACAAAGACTTCACTGACATCAAGAAAACATACCACGAGAAATACTACGAACTCAAGGAGGAGAGAATGATACTGATTCAGGCCAAAATTAAAGAAAAGCTTGGCATCGAGCTGTCTTTGGAGTTCAAGAAAGAGCAATACAAGGAYGAGTCGACAGGTGATGAAGGAGGCGAAGCAGTTGTCCAGCCAGGGACTGTCGAAAAGGAGGAAGGTGATAACCAAACACCAGAAGCGGAGGCTGGAAATGACGAGCCTCCTGCGGAACTCCCACAGTCTCTGCCTACAGCTGAAGGAGAAGAAAGCACAGAAACTCCAGCTGCAGAGGGAGAAGGAGAGAAGCCTGAAGCTGAGAACCAGCCTGCGGTGAAAGCGGTGCCGCTATCGGAGCTAGCACTGGCTCCAAACCAAGAAGACTTGTTTGGTGACATTGAACAGTTGAAGAAGAAACACGAAGAAGAGATAGCAGAGTTTGAGAAGGCACAAGAAATGAACAAAGCAAGGGTTGATCAGGGATTGCAGGAGAGGCTACAAGCAAGACGAAGTAGACGACGAAAGATGAAGAAACAAAATGAAGAGGCTTTACAACTAGGAGGTGAATCTGGAAAGAGCTTACCACCTCCCCCTGAATAAGCTCATTATTCCTTGATGTTCAGGGTTGCAGTCATGGCATTCAGTTGCTAATATGCATTAGTTTACTTTAAAAGTAGATTGAGCCTCCATTGATAGATGTTGTTTACAATATATCTTTTAACATTTGGTGTGTATATATTTATAATGATAAATTAGGCCCCGTCCACACTTATCTGGAAATTTTTGTATCCACAAATTATTTTTCCCGGATACGAAAATGTTTGCGTCCACACGCAGCGTATTTGAATCGTTTTCACCGTTCCACATGTGTCCGTTTTCGTGAAATTTGCGGATACGACACAAAAATTACGACATGTGYGATACGACACGTGTGGACGCAACCCGTATCTGTAAAAAAAAATTGCGGATACAAAGATTTCCAGATACGTGTGGACGGGGCCTTAATGAACTGCCATCAGAGTCACGATTCACAGTTCACTAGCTTATAGTTTCGTGTGAGTCTCACTCTCCTTTTGCTCTTAGGGGGCTTTTATTTATAAGCACATGGGGGATTTGCAAAATCAGATGGAAAAAAGCTTCTCAATCTGTGACAACCCCCATAACCCTTTTCTCAAAAAAATGTAACCCCCTACACCCCCCCCCCCTCCCCCATGTGCTAATGAATAAAAAAGCACCCTTTTAATTAGAAACCTTTTATATGCACCCAAATTCAATGGAAGCAGGGTAATCTTAAAACATTTTATTTTCTTTCTTTAACTAATGAAATATTCAGTTGTATACACGTATCAGAATCACTTATCCTTTTTAAATGTGTAGATTCCAGATATCATTATCCATACCCCCTCACTGAAGAATTTTCTTAAGAACTCCCTTACACCCAAAGATTCCAATTTTCTTCCATACAAACTGTGTAATTTTGATTTTTCTTTGACCCCCCTACCCTTTGGAATTTCCAAATTTCTTGCTGGGGGAGAGGGGGAGGTGGGTATGGATAATTTCTGGAACTACACAATGTGAATTGCCCTATTTCACTATGACGTCACTGCTTGTTTATGTGGGGGATAGAATCGCCAAATCCAATAGAAAATTCTACAAAATTTGCTCCTAGCAAAACAGTTTAATCTAAAATGGCCTGGTTCTCAGATATAATATGTGTTAATATGTACTAAAAAATATTCTGAGCGTTTGCTGGCTATTCTACTTCACTTCGTGGATTGATACGGGTTTTAGAACAATTTTCGGTAAATTTGCGTTGATTTGACCCCCTCCGATGACCATGATCCTTTGTGTTTAAACAATAGATTGTTTTGATGTGACTACATAGTGAAATAGGGCAATTAATCATAATTCTTCAAGGACATAAGAAATTAGAATTAAATGAGTGATTCACCACCCTGATCCCCTTACCCTTCGGAAAATTAAAATTCCTCCGTGGGGTGGGTATGGATAATTTCTGGAATTAATGTGAATTAATCAATATAATTTCTTAAGAATATTATTCTTAGAATTAAATGTAATTGATTCACGACTCTGAGGGTGAACAACCCATTAGACCTTAATAGAAATTTGCTTATGTGATCACAAAACAATGACTCCAAGCCTAGTTATAACTTGACAAAATACAGTAAATATATGAGCACATCGAGTCCAACCTTGACTTGAAACCATAATATTGTTTCGTGGTCACTCAAGCGAATTTGGGAAAGGTCTTTTGATAAATAAGAAAGAAATACTGTAAAAATAGATTCCAAAGGTCAATATTAAGCAAAATCAAATCGTTTGGTGCAATTTTGGGACGAAAAATCCAGAGGAAATCCTACAATACAAGAAAGAGACAACTTTGCACATTTGCTCGATGACAAACACATATTTTGAGATGGCACATGAGCAGACAATAGCTATCCATGGCCAAAAGTAATAATTATTAAATTTTGTAGAAAAAATGATCTAATACTTTTCCAAGCTGCGACAAATAAGAAAGTAAAGGTACAAGTTGCGGGTCAACATTTCCTATCAATAATATTTCATGAATACTTGTGTGATTACCAATGAAGTGTAAATTGCAATGATTGTAATTTAGTTTTTAGAAAACAATATGTCTGATTTGCAATAAATGAATATGATAATTTTGAAGTATATTGTTTGCAATAACTTTAGAACATGAACAAATATGCAAAAAGTATGATGCTCAAGGGATCGGAATGACACATGGCCTGAAATGGGAAAACATTGCACCATAGCTGTAAAGGTTTATAGTAAAGAAAGAAATAATAATCAAGGGAATAACACATGGCCTGAAATGGGAAAATATTGCACCATAGATGAAAAGCATTCCTAGTAAAGAAAGAAATAATACTCAAGGGAATGACACATGGTCTGAAATGGGAAAACGTACCATAGCTGAAAAGCATTCCTAGTAAAGAAAGAAATAATACTCAAGGGAATGACATGGTCTAAAATAAGAAAACACTGTATCCAGTCAATCCATAGTTAACTAGGCTGTTTTAAAGCCGAATTTTACACCTAGTAAATAAGATTCTTTACATATTGATGTCTTTTCAAGGAAAAACAAAACGTTCCCTGCTAGCAGAGCCTATTTTCCTTTTGTTTTGGTTGAGAGAGAAAAATAAAATCCCCGCCTGAAAGAAGGGAGAGAAAGAGAAGAGAGACTCTGCTAGCAGGGAAAACAAAACGTTGAGTATATTAACACAGGATAGAATGATCAGAACCAAAGCCATCACGCAAAAATCCAGAAAACAACTACCAATCTAACAACTAAATCCGTGATGGATTCAATAAGACGCAAGCCTATAGAATACATTAAACACTACTAGACCAAACTTACCTTTGAATTCGAGAAAAMTTGAATTAATTTCCAAATCTTTGAACATGTAAATCGGAGGTTGTCTAACTTATTTTCGCGCGCTTTCATTCTAAAGCAGGCGTTCCTCGTAAGACTTAACCAGTCTCTCTCGGTGGGGAAACTCCAAGATGGCAGCGAATGTGGAAAACGTACTTCGAGAGAAGGTACATTTGTATCTAAAAACTATCTCTAAAACACATCCTTTTTGCCTCATTTGTTGGAATAGTATAGAATTATAAGTTTTTAGATGACTAATCATTCCAGATTGATAATTCTCTTTAAAAGTCTTAGCAAAAAAAGTGAGATTTTTTAGTGTTGAAAGAAGGGCGTTTGAAAAGTAAGAAAAAAATTTGAATTTTTTTTTTGAAGGTTGAATATTTCTTAACTATCAAATTAAATGGTGACAATTTTGGTGAATGAGATCCTTATTTGTGTCTATATTGGTTTTTCTGGATTGTTTTATAGTGTAAAGTGTATGTTCAAGTAGGAAAAGATGATTTCAAAAGATTGACTTCAGAAGTCAAAGATATTAAGGAAGTCATTCCAAAAGTGAGTAAGAGTCATTGGATTTTGTTCTGTTTTATGGATAAATATTATTTTTTTACTTCACTTATCAAAATGTAGATTCTATTTGTAATTGAGATAGAAATAATACTCAAGGGAATGATACATGGTCTGAAATAATAAAACATTCCATATTAGCTAAAAAGCATTCCTAGTAAAGAAAGAAATAATACTCAAAGGAATGACACATGGTCTGAAAATGGAAAGCATTGCACCATAGCTGTAAAGCATTCCTAGTAAAGAAAGAAATAATACTCAAGGGAATGACACATGGTCTGAAAATGGAAAGCATTGCACTATAGCTGAAAAGCATTCCTAGTAAAGAAAGAAATAATACTCAAGGGAATGACACATGGTCTGAAAATGGAAAGCATTGCACCATAGCTGAAAAGCATTCCTAGTAAAGAAAGAAATAATACTCAAGGGAATGACACATGGTCTGAAATGGAAAAACATTGGTAAAAAGTATTTTAGTTCATTCAACAATTTTCATTCATTTTTCCATCCCATCTGTTGTTCACAGATACTTACCTCAGATCTACTGGATTCATATTCCAAGCTAGAAGCAAGTCAAGAAGGTAAATTGTTGACTACACTATGGGGACTGCAAGTTTGGATTAACTGCCATTCCTTTAGAGCTGATTTGGCATAAGTTATGAGAATGAAATAATAAAAGACATGGCTCCCATTTCGGTTGATATAGTGTGCATTCATTCCCATGAGATTAGATGTCAAAAACTGGCTATCATGTTGGTTGATACATAGGTTATACGTATTCCTTTCTATGAGAATGAAGAACAGAATGATAGACATGGCTGCCATGTTGATTGATATTTAGGTTGTGTGCATCCCATTCTGTTACAAAAGAAACCAAATCTTTAATTTTTGTTGAAGTCAACCAACCTAAAACACCATCCAAAATCTAGATCTTCCCACATAATGCCTATGTTTAAGTTGTATTTACAAGACTTCTGAACAAGTCCTTTTGTGTTATCCTGACAATGAAACTATATTCTTAGGCTGAATTTCTCCTTAAGAAAATATAGTTCGCCAATTCAAAATTGAATTGGGGAAAAAACTTATTTACTTTGGGTTTTCTCAGAACTTCAGCAAGTTCATAGTGAAAATCATAAGCTTAGGACTGAGCTTGATTACCTACAGCAAGAGCACCAGAGGCAAATAGGAGAAGCAGAGAAGAGATATAACAATCTTATTGGGGATTATGACAGAGGTAGAGAGGTGAGTAGTGTTCCCTAGGGAGTGATAGAAAGGTTATCTTGATTTCTGCAGCAAGATCAACAAGGTGATAGTAGAGAAGTGAGTAGTGACCCTAGGGGTTGGTAGAAAGGTTATCTTGATTGCCTGCAGCAAGATCAACAAGGTGATAGAAGAGAAGTGAGTAGTCACCCTAGGGGGTGGTAGAAAGGTAGTATTGATCCATAGGTGTAGGACAAAGGTGAGTAGTGATCTCTATCTCTAAGGGGTATTATAAAGGCCAAGGATCCCTAGGGGGTAGTAGAAAGGTAGTATTGATCCATAGGTGTAGTACAAAGGTGAGTAGTGATCTCTAAGGGGTAGTATAAAGGCCAAGGATCCCTAGGGGGTAGTAGAAAGGTAGTATTGATCTATAGGTGCAGTACAAAGGTGAGTAGTGATCTCTAAGGGGTAGTATAAAGGCCAAGGATCCCTAGGGGGTAGTAGAAAGGTGTTCACCAATATCAGATGTAATTTTTCTCATTCAATTTTTTCTCTTTCTTATTTATTCCATACTTAGGAGAAGTTTGATCTTAAGGTAAGCTATAATGTTTCAAAAAAACTTGAATCCAATTCACAACTAAAAACTTACTTAGAATTAAAATTTTTTTCAGTGTCAACTAGCAGATGTCAATCAACAACTTATTGACCAATCAGATTACTGCGCTAGTTTGGGTGCTTCTGTGTGCACATTGCTGTGGAGGGTTTCTAGGCAACAACAGTCTGTATCGACTCTCCTTGAAGGGGTGAGTGGAACCATGATATTATCATTGTCATGATCATCATAACTATCATCACCATCATCACCACCACCATCATGCATCATCACTATTATCATCATCATCGCCATCATCACCACCATCATCATGTATCATCACCACCATCATCATGTATCATCATCACTATCATCATGTATCATCATTACCATCATCATGTATCATCATCACTATCATCATGTATCATCATCACCACCACCGTCATCATGTATCATCATCATCATCTTGTATCATCATCATCACCACTATTATCATGTATCATCATTACCATCACCATCATGTATCATCATCACCATCATCACCACCATCATCATGTATCATCACCACCATCATCATGTATCATCATCACTATCATCATGTATCATCATCACCACCACCGTCATCATGTATCATCATCATCATCTTGTATCATCATCATCACCACTATTATCATGTATCATCATTACCATCACCATCATGCATCATCATCACCATCATCACCACCATCATCATGTATCATCATCATGCATCATCATCATGTATCATCCTCATCAAGTATCATCATCATGTATCATCATCTTGCATCCCCATCTTTCTCATCACAACCATCTTGATTAGTCATCCTTATCATTATGATTGTCATAAGGAAATAAAGTAGTTGATACCATTCATGAACCAATCCCTGACTCATTCTTACCTTTTACTGTGCATTTACCATAGGCAAAAGCAGAAGAGTTCCTCCACCTAACGAGAAAAACCATTATCAGCTACTTCGCCACATGGGGAGAAGACGACCCTCAAGAGAAATCAGAAGAACTAGAATTTGTTCTTGCTTTGTGTGGTATTATAACCAACATAGCGGCTGCCCCATGTGGGAGAGAGTTCTTTACAAGGAAAGAGATTGGTCAAGTCCTGGTAGATTGCTTAGTTACGACACTCGAGAAGACTTCTGTTCAGCATAATGTGAAGATACGAAGCCTGATGTTAATGGCTTTGTACAATATAAGGTGAGAAAATGCTGTCTTACACCACTGTGTTTAGGTAAGAATGTAGCCTATACCCTCCCCCCTTGGGCAGGCATTTTACACTTTACCCCTCCCCCTCAAACTTAGTATCAAAGTATGAGGTTTAAAGCCGACTGACAGCTTTGTTTAATCATAAGATGACAAAATGCTGCCTTACACCTCCATGCTTAGGTATAAATGGAAACTATACCCTCCCCCCCTTGGGTGAAGCAGGCATTTTGCTCCTTACCCCACTCCCTCTGAACAACTTCATCAGACATCAGACAACCTCGAAAAACAAACTATTTAGCTGAAAGCTTTGTACGATTAAAAGGTGAAAAATTGCTGCCTTTTTTGCTCCCCCACACTAAGTTATAAAGTAATGGTTAACGGAAAGACTGGGTCGAGTTGACATTGCAGTGCATTGTGGGTCTGTCTTGGGGGAACGAAATAGACGCCATCTTGGAAATATGCCCCCACAAATAGTCCCACAATGCATTGCAATTCCAGCTCCACCCATATTTCCCTGAACCTCAAATTGCTAATTATTCATTTCAAAAATTAACATGAATTTTTATGGTAATGATTTTTCGTAGTATTAATTTTCGAGGTCTGCAGTATTTGATATCAAAACCTTCACTCCTTCCGCTTATGCTTCGTTTAATACAAGGTACGTTAAACTGAATTGGTTGAGCATCGGACTTTCGTGCGGGAGGTCGTGGTTCGAGTCCCGGCCGGACCAACACTCAGTGTCTTAAAATAACTGAGGAGGAAGTGCTGCCTTTGTAATTACATCTACAAATGGTTAGACTTCCAAGTGGCTCGGATGACTACTTTAATTGGCGGTCCCGTCTCTCCACACTCATCATTACTAACCAACATCGGAGGGACGTAAAAGAACCACTGAGGACGTAAAGAAACCCTGCCAGTGACCACCCTCAGTGCCTACACTTCATACTAACCATCTCTCATGCTAGTAAATTACATAAAAAGCAATCTGTCATTCACGACTCAGTGCCCTTGATTATATCCATTTCGAAAGGGCGCTATAGAAATCATAAATCATTATCATTAATCATGCAATACAATACGTTATCTTTGCACATTTTGTTTTTCAATGTGCAAGTTTTGCAACCATTTTCTCATACCGAGTTTTTAATCTTTTTTTCTTTTTTCTTTCTTTCTTTTTTTTTTTTTTTTTTTTTTTTTTTTTTTTTTTGTTTCATTGGGAGGCACGAGTGGAATAGGCTACCCTAGTTTCGATTCCCATTTATTTATTTATTTTCATTTCTTTATCTTAATTTTTTTACTCACAGAAGAAAGCGACTCTGAAATAAAGCTCAATGCTGCAAGGTAATATAAAAACATTGTCAATAAATCGCTTTTTCTAATAATTAATGTTGGCACGATTTTCTAAGTTTACAGCTATTCGAAGTTTACATGTAGTGGTAGTGCGCAACTCACGGGAGAGCCCACACGGGGGAGTGATTGGAAAATATTATAACATGACAGAGCAGAAAAACGACAAGCCCGCTACTTTCACGATTTTTTTATTTAGCTGAGTTTAATACTCCAAATTTTTAAGCGTTTCATTCGTGTCACTGCTGCCCGAAACTTGTGACGAAATTTTGTCGAATTATTAGAGTAAATCTACTTAGTATTCACGAAAATGTCAGTTTTTCTGCTGATCAAAATATCACCTCTCCCAAAGTACAAGGCTTTATATCTCAAATACGCATTCAATAGATTTTGGCTGCATTTGATTATTTTGCTATTTGGCTCCAAAAGAACGTGTTTACAAAATATTGAGCTTAAATACTTAAAACTGTTCTATTGGCGAAAGACCAAAAACCGTTTTTCTGCCCTGTCTTATAACTTAACGTTATTACGATATTTCAGACTTCTGCAGTCTATTGTCATGGAACCCGAATGTCTATCACATGAGCATCTACAACAGGTGAAAAAACTACGATACACGTTTTACCTACAAACTCAATCTTCCAAGGAACTATTCGCCTCATGCAGGTTGGCTGAAAGCTCCTGGTCTACAACCCATGCGCGCTTGCTAATGAACACAAGCTTCGATTAAATTCCTTCTATTGCGCATCCAATACCTAAGTATTTTAGGAATAAGCTCGTTGTTGCAAGACGAAGTAAATCTATACACTGATTTTTTATGTTCGTTGCAGCTTTCACTAAACACACTTCAGAAGCTGGTCAACACCACCAAAGGGGAGGTAAGTAGGTAACTCATTTAAGATGGCATGTTTAACCTTGATACCCTCCTTATGTGTCCATCGATATCCCTACCTTTACCCGCCAGCACACTCAGTAATCTACTGTCAATATGCAACACAGATCGAGCACCTGAGATGTATAAATAATAGAAGGAGAAACTAGAAACATTAGGGGACCCAAGGTAGACCTCTGTGGAACTCCACATTGAAGAGAACAACTTATGTTATATCATTGCGCAATACGAATTGCGTACTTTAGGTGTATCATTTTAAAAAATGAGAACTAGAAAACCACTAGGGGGCCTAAGGAAGACTCTGTGGAACTCCACATTGAAGAGAACAACTTATCTTATATAATTGCGCAATACAAATTGCGTACTTTAGGTGTATCATTTTTTTTAAATGAGAAACTAGAAATACGAGGGGACCCAAGGAAGACCTTTGTGGAACTTCGCATTGAAGAGTACAACTTATTATATTGGTGCGCGATACAAATTGCGTATTTTAGGATCATTTAAAAAATGAGAAAGCGGAAACATTAGCGGGCCTAAGGTAAACCTATGTGGAACTCCACATTGAAGAGTACCATTAGGTGTATCATTAAACAAAATGGAAACTATAAATATTAGTGGACCCAAGGTAAAACTCCGTGGAACTCCACATTGAAGAGTACCAATGAAAAACTATAAACATTAGGGGACCCAAGGTAAAACTCTGTGGAACTCCACATTGAAGAGTAAAACTGATCGTCAACGATGTAGCTTATGTGCTTCCAAAAAGAAAATTAGTTTTATCTTAATTTCAATTTACATTCATAACCTTTAAGCGTTCTGCTTTAAATTCCAGGTTCAGTACACGCTACAAGAGATAATCGACGACGTGAAGAAATATCCAATTAATCTCGTTTAGTCAGCTCTCGAGTAGATTCGATAGGGCCTGCTGACCATGAGAGATATAGACTCGGGAAGAGCTTTTCATCGTAGCTTCGCAGTAATGACGACCTTAAGCTTTTCAAAATCTACGACGGCGACGTCAACCGGAATTATATATAACTTCTGTAAAGTATGTCTTCCCTCTCTGGATGAGTTTACTTTTATTGACAATGTTTTGAATGAAATCTCCAATGAACAAAACCCCAAAGAGAAATTATTTGCACTTCCGATTGACGTCGCTGTCGCAGATTTTGAAAAGCTTATTAAGGTCACCATTAATGAGAGAATGCGGTTTATTTTTTATTCATAGTGCATGCGGGCGACGTCATATTTAACTTGCGTTATATTATTCTCGTACCCAGATCCATCGAATTCGTTCTTGCATGAGGAGATTTGGGTACTAGAACGGTGTTTTAAAATGGACGTATTTGGTTGTACATTCTAATAAAAAATAAAGTTATTTTTGTGCATATACACGCTTTATTGATCAGGTTTTCTTTCTTCCCCATGTATCTCCAGTATTTCCTACCTCGTGATTGTTCCTCAAGGGAAGAAAGGAAGACACCGCAAATGGTGACTCTTTCGTCGAGCATGCGCAGTAAGGAATAAGGGCTATCCCGGTACAAGATTAGGATTCCGGGCTTTCAATTTCATTCAAAAGTTGATCTGCTAGAGGGAATTCTTTTTTGGGGGTTATTTTTATTGATTGATAGGACCATACTTCCAGACATCGAGTGCTGAACCGTCGTATGGCAGCGCGAAGCATTTACGGCTACGCCGGAGATTTCGACCCCGACACCGCTATCCCTGGACTTACAAACTGATCAGGAAGCTCGGGCGAAACCTAAGGGAGAGGTTAGTCGGCCCCTAGACCGTAGATGATTAACCCCTTGCTATGACCAGCATGCCCGATAAGTCGCTTGTGACTCTGATCACTTAGTACCCGTAGGCGATCGTTTCCATGTGGGACGCGTTTTGGGGAATTTGTCGCGACGTATATACGCAAACTTGGAATATAAATCCAAACTTGGGTCTTTCATCAGCATTTGTTAGCGCGCATAATTTCTAAGAATGAGATTAGTGCGCATGCGCTAATCGAGATGACTTCATTCTAATGTCTTGGTGGACAAAATATCAAGAAAACAACAAGACTGGTCCTGTTTATCTTAAATTCAAAAGCTGATAATGATCTCTTCTTAAAAACCGTCTCGACCTCTTAGATCTGCGAATGCCCAAGTTGGACGAGTTGCTGCAAATAATGTTGCTATGGTAACGACGATTCGCCTAAAATTAAAATATTTGCAAAGTTTAATCAATCCAACTAAAGGCATTTGCATAAATCAAAATCATAATTAAACGGCCAGAAAATAAGTACCAAGAGCCACCTTAAGAAATGGGATCCCTGTGTTTATTTATCATGACGTCACATCGTTAGTTCTCATTCTCCTCGCGATCACGTCTCAAATCAAGATGGCGGTTCAACGTGCGAAGACGCAGCTAAATACGATATGAAATAAAAAGTGGCTCTAACTCCACCAGATCGCTAGCTAGACGTCTCAGATGGTAAAGAGTAAAAGCAGAGACGGTATTTTAAATGGAGATATCGAACAACATGGTGATATAACTCATGGCGAATGGTATTTGAAGGCTGGATCTTCCAAGAGGGTCCCGTCCAAAAAACACCATGTTGAAATCCCTGGACCAATGGATATCATTACTTCTCTTGCTTCTGGCGCGACGGCTGGAGCCCTCGCAAAAACAGCTATTGCTCCCTTAGATAGAACAAAGATTATATTTCAAAGTAAGTATTTTGTCATTTTGATCAAAATTTCAATTAGTTTTGTACAGCAATTGTTTTGTTATTCATGTTTCGTTTGTAAACGTGTTTCTAGAGAGAATGGCTTCATGACTGAAGTGACCCTTTTGACCTCCAACATCATGCAATCCTCCCTACGTTGTAGTCTTAGAAGCGCAAATGTCCAGTTGTTCTAGCCAAGTTATTCTCTTTTACATTATGTAGATCTTACAATTTTTAGAAGTATTATGCAATAATGCTTGTACATTCATTATTTCAATGCAAAGATATGCGATCGACGTAACTTATGCTATTGTCGTGTGCATTACATGTATTTTTCTATAAATATTATGATAATGAATGCTTAAGTTTTCTAATGCTTTTCTTTTAGCATCTAACACAAGATTTACTATTAAGGTAAAATTTGTTATGCAGCTATTTTTTCCCTTGGGATTTGCTGTTGGAAATCAAGAATAGTAATAGTGATAGTGCCTCTCACCTCTTGCATGGGGTTTTAGGTTGAAATCTGTGCCATCAAGATTATAATACAGAATGTCCTATAGCAGCATACAGCTTATTGACACAATATAATAGTAATAAATTATGAGTTCGGTGTGTGTAATGTAATAGAAAGAATTTGATATTTTTCTCTTATTCTCTCTATTTCATTACACACACGGAATGCATAATTTATTACTACTATACTATGTCTATTCTTTGCATACATATTTACGGTGTTCAACTTACCTATAGAGAAAAAATATTGCTCTGGGATCCTCACGAATACCCTACATTTCATATTCCGGTTGCGTTACCAGCGTGGTTGGTCCTTGTAGTGTAGTGGTTAACACATCGGACTGGAATACCAAAGACGTGGGTTTGATTTTCGCCAAGGGCATTTGATATTTTTCTCTTATTCTCTCTATAACGCAATATAAATTGAATTACATCCTTAGATCAATTCTCTGTACATCCAATAAAAATGCTCCAACACTGTTATATGTAGAGCAGTGGACTGTGCATTACGATGACATGTTATGGATATATAACACTGTATCATGTAATAGACCCCTCGTAAAATAATTTCCACTGCTTATAAGCCTCTCACCAAGGCAACCCAGCTCAGTGGATAATGATTATATTTTATAATGAGGTTTTAGGATTATTTTATTTATCTTTTCTCCAATGGTTTTTTCTTCCAAAGCTCCAGCAAGAATCTTTATATTTTCTTGATCTATTTTTAGGGTGTGGGTAAAGTTTTATCACAGACCTTCAAATCCAATGGCTTTATTGGTTTATTCAGAGGGAACAGTGCGACTATGGCACGTGTCATTCCCTATGCTTCTCTTCAGTTTGCCTCTCATGAGCAGTACAAGAAACTTCTGAGACAAGAAGAAGGAAAAGGGTAAGATTATGAGTATTTTATTGTGGTTTCCAACATTTCAATGGCTTGTTGTTAAATTGTTTTTGCTGCCGCCAGTCAAGAATATAAAAGGTATCAACTGATTATTTATGTTTTAAAGCAGCAAAAAAAAGAAACAACAACAAATTTCAGCTTGAAGCTTGCAGCTACGGTGAGAACAACTCATCAAACAAACTCCACTCATGATCTAGCATATGATACTAATATATTTATTTCATGATATTTTGTATTGATCAGCATGAAATTTGTGTCTACTATAGACATGTATATTATCATCATCATCATCATCATCATCATCATTATTATTTTGTAATCATATTTATATTATTTATATGTTACCTTTTTAAAATATGGAAATAAATAAAAATTAAATTAAAAAATGACAAAAAAAGCCTATAAATTAAAAGATATATATCTTTTTAACAGGGCATTGCCTCCTGTGCGTCGCTTCATTGCTGGATCTCTTGCTGGCATCACAGCAGCATTATTAACATATCCATTGGATATGGTACGAGCAAGATTAGCAATATCTCAAAAACAAAAGTAGGTGGATATTTAGAATGAACCTGAATTTGATTGAGTGAACCCTGAAACAACCTCTGGGCTGATCTAAGTCAGGGCATGGCTAACTCACAGAT